ACATCTCCACAACACCAATACATCTACTCATCTGTTCATTTACTCATACTCTGTCTACCCATCTCTATCTATTTCTCTGCCAATACTCTGTCTCTATCTATCCCCACCACGTCATCTACATTGGGGTGATACTTTAAGGACGTCCGACCTCAGGGGGTGGGGGAGGGTCGATGGAAACCAGACAAATTCGGACAGATGGGGGGGGGACAAACAATTTTAGACGTCTGAATAATTTATAAAATTTAGTATTTTTGGAGGATAAATGATGTACTTTTTAATCCTTTTGTCGAGTCATTAAACCTTGTTTCAATATTAATAGAAGTAGGTAACGATTTTTTTAATAATTTAATAATCAATAATACAGCTGTGTAGAATTTCATTCTTTTTTAACTCTGTTTGTTATGAATCAAATATTTCGACCTTTACGGTCGTTGTCAATGGTAGAAGAACTTGTTAGCGGCTTAGAACGACGATCACACCATATAAGTAACAAAATGATAAGTGTTACTCGCGAACAGAACGTACACAAGGCTAAAAGTAATAGAACTATAGATCGACACAGATAAAAATTTTCATTTTACTTGACAGCATGTTTTAAAAAAGAAAATGTACCTAGTCCAGTTTTCGCCTTATTCTGTGAAGTAAAATGAAAATGGTTATCTGTGTCGATCTATAGTTCTGTTACTTTCAGTCTTGTGTACAGTTCTTCTATCATTGACAATGACCGTAAAAGTCGAAATATTTGATTCATAAAAAATAAAGTTAAAGAAGAATGAAATTCTACACAGTTGCAGGATTAGTTATTCAATCTTGTTTCTTCCTAAGGGTTAAAGAACGATTTGAATAAAAGAACTGTTTTATTCTCATTTATTTATTGAATGCTATGCATTAAAAGTAATCAAAAGGTAAAGAGTAGTTTTTTTAGATTGTGCTCATTAAAATGGGTGAACAAGATCGTTCAAAGTTGTACGAAAAATTTGTTAAGCTATACACACAATATTATTCTGCGACTGTATCACACAATCAAACGCTGTATCACAATGCTAATAAAGAATGGAATACGTTGAAAACCGATCATGCCGCTCTGTGTGATAAACTAACCGATTACTCATCAAAAATTATGATGCGAAAAGGTGATTTACAAAGATATTGGGGTATGAAAATGAAAACGAAGTCAGGAACAACAATAAGTCAACTTACTCCATCGCCGACTTTATCCTTATTAGGGACGAAAGCTGTTGTCTGCAACAACGAGGTTGAAGAAACAGCAAATAAACGTGAAACACCAGCACAGACAAAAACCTCTAAAGAATTGCACGATGTGAATGAAAAACTAACAAAACTACAGGCATTAAAATCGACCGGTTTATTCACAGATGAGAACAGGAGAATGATGAAAGATTCTGAAGAGCAGAGAAGACTACTGAAATTGAAATTAAAGTCCCTGACAACTGATCAAGAACGAAAACGGAAGAAGCGTGCCAATTTCAAACAAGCACTGAATGTTATAGTTGAAAAACATCCAGATGTTGCTGACACTTTAAAGCGTTTTAAGAGAAACGATCCGCATCGTCCATCATTAGAGGTAGATCAGCCTGGTTTATTAGAAACTATTCTCGAAATAGCGTCACCAGCTGCTGCAGCGGATGATCGTCGGCGAACTGAACTGTTGAGAAGTATAAAGACATTGGATGATCTAACCGAAGAACTGTCGAAGCGTGGATTTCATCTCAGTCGAACCGGTACATATTTAAGACTAATTCCTAGAAGATGGAATACAACTGAAGGTAAATATAATATTGTTTATCTCTAAGATTTTCCAGTTTTTCTTGTGTGTCTGTAGGAAAACGACATGTCACAACAGTGCCAGTAAAATTAATTCGTGCACAAAATACGATGCGACATTGTCATCCTGACTCTCGTTTAGCAGCAGCCTCAATTGAGTATTTGAAAGATTTAGCATCGTTGTTTGGATCTCAGTGTACACTTGTATTGAGTCAGGATGACAAAGCACGCGTTCCTTTAGGGCTACCAGCTGCTAAGAAGCAAGCTCCAATTCTTATGCACCTTGAATATCGTGTTCAACTCCCGGATCACGATTTTGTTATAGCGGAAAAACACAAGTTGATTCCCAGTGTTTATGCTGTATTAACATTTAAAAATAAGTTGTTGTCGTACTCTGGACCAACATACATCGGTATTAGATCTGGTAAACATGATCGTTCAACAGCGTTCACTCATTTACAGGATTTATCTAAATGTTTGTCATTCAATCCATTCAAACAATATTCACACACTCCCGAACACAACATTCAACCCACAAATACATACAGCTACACAACATTCAACCCACCAATACATACACAACATTCAACCCACAAATACACACAGCTACACAACTGCGCACACAAGCAGCCAGGCAC